TTTCACAGGTTTCACTGTATAACTAGAATGTTCCTTAGAAGCAAGGATGACTTACTTTAGATACATCATCGGGAAAGACCAGTGGCTAGAAAGGACATTATGCTTGGTAAAGTAGAAGGCCAATGAAAACAAGGGAAAGCATCAGTGAGGTGAATTGACACCATAGCTGAAGCGATGGACTCAAACATAGTGACGATCATGAAGATGGCACAGATCTGGGCAACGTTTTGTTCTGTTAAATATAAGGTTGCCATGAGTCAGAGTGGACTCCGTGGCACCTAACAACAATTTAACAATATTAAATCCCCACTAATTTATTAATTCAACAAACATGCATTGTGTTTACTGTATTTGTATAACTGTACTGGGTAATCTATGAAGTAGATGAAAGAATAAAGTTCTGCTTTTAAGGCTTAAAGTTTATTTGGAAGATAAGGCTTTTACATAAAAAGTATAATGCAAGGAAAAAATTAACAAATGGTGATAAAAAATATCTTCTAAAAGATAGGCATGGGAGAGGTAACTTTCATTTTGGAAGTTCTGGAAATTATCCTGGAGGAGATGGAAGTATGAGATAAATGTGAAAGGTTTTGGTAAGATTTTTTAAAACTAGTATTTCATTGTGTTTTAGGTGAAAGTTTACACAGTAAATTAGGTTCCCATTTCAAAATTTTTATACAAATTGTTCCGTGACATTGGTTACAATTTTCACAGTGTGTCAGCATTCTCATTATATCTGTTCTGTTTGTTCTGTTTCCATTGATCTAGCTTCCCTTCCCCTCCTTGCCTTCTCATCTTTGCTTTAGGGTAAATGTTGACTGTTTGGTCTCATATAGTTGATTGTTTAAGGGAGCACAGTATTCACAGGTGATACTGTTTATTTTACAAGCCCATCTATTATTTGGCTGAAAGGTGACCTTTGGGAGTGGCTTCACTTCCACGTTAAAAGGATATCTTAGGGCAATAGTCTCGGGGGTTTCTCTAGTGCCTGTCAGTCTAGTAGGTCTGGCCTTTTTTAGGCATTTGAATTTTGTTCTGCAGTTTCATCCCGTTCTCTCCAGGACCTTCTATTGTGTCCCTGGTTAGAATGGTCGATAGTGGTAACCGGACACCATGTAGTTTTTCTGGTCTCAGGTTAGAAGAGACTGTGATTCGTGTGGGCTGTTAGTTCTGTGGGCTAGTTTCTTCTTGGAGCCTTTGTTTTCCTTCGTTCTCTTTTACTTAATACGAGTAGAGACCCATAGTTGTATCTTAGATGGCTGCTCTCAAGCTTTTAAGACCCCAGACGTTACTCTCTGAACTAAGATGTAGAACATTGTCTTTTTTTTTTTGCCTAAATTTGATTTATTTTGTTGTTGAGAGTATACACAGCAAAATATACACCAATTCAACCGTTTCAGCATGGAAAATTTAATGACATTGACTACATTTTTTGAGTTGTGCAACCATTCTCACCCTCATTTTCTGAGTTGTTCCTCCTTCATTAACATAAACCCACTGCCTCCTAAGGTTTAGAACGTTATCTTTATGAACTATGTTATGCTAATTGACTAAGTTGTCCCCCTAGACTATGCTCCTAAGCCTTTTAACTCGGTAAACCAATCCTGCATTGTTCGGATATGTCTAGGAAGCCTCCGTAACTGTGCCCCTATGTGCTTTGTTAAATACATTGATACATGTGCAACACACATATGCCTACAGATACCCTGAGTATGTTGTTATTGTTATTAGGTGCTGTCGAGTCAGTTCTGACTCATAATGACTCTATGTACAACAGAATGAAACACTGCCCAGTCCTGTGCCATCCCCACAATCATTGTTATGCTTGAGCCCATTGTTGCAGCCGCTGTGTCTATCTCATTGAGGGTCTTCCTCTTTTTTGCTGACCCTCTACCAAGCATGATGTCCTTCTCCAGGGACTGGTCCTTCCTGATAACGTGTGCAAAGTATGTGAGTAGTAGTCTCATCATCCTTGCTTCTAAGGAGCATTCTGGTTGTACTTCTTCCAGGACAGATTTGTTCATTCTTTTGGCAGTCCATGGTATACTCAGTATTCTTCACCAGCACCACAATTCAAAGGCGTCAATTCTTCATCGGTCTTTCTTATTCATTGTCCAGCTTTCACATGCATGTGAGGAGATTGAAAACACCATGGCTTGGGTCAGGTGCGACCTTAGTCTTCAAGGTGACGTCGTAGCTTTTCAACACTTTAAAGAGGTCTTTTGCAGCAGATTTGCGCAATGCAGTGTGTCTTCTGATTTTCTTGACTGCTGCTTCCGTGGGTGTTGATTATGGATCCAAGTAAAATGAAATCCTTGACAACTTCAATCTTTTCTCTGGTTATCATTGTTCCAGTTGTGAGGATTTTTGTTTTCTTTATGTTGAGGTGTAATCCATACTGAAGGCTGTAGTCTTTGATCTTCATCAGTAAGTGCTTCAAGTCCTCTTCACTTTCAGCAAGCAAGGTTGTGTCATCCGCATATCGAAGTTGTTAATGAGTCTTCCTCCAAACCTGATGCCCCATTCTTCTTCGTATAGTCCAGCATCTCGGATTACTTGCTCAGCATACAGATTGAATAGGTATGGTGAAAGGATACAGCCTGACACACATCTTTCCTAACTTTAAACCATGCAGCATCCCCTTGTTCTGTTCAGTTGACTGCCTCTTGATCTGTGTACAAGTTCCTCATGAGCACAATTAAGTGTCCTGGAATTCCTGTTCTTCGCAATGTTATCCCTAGTTTGTTATGATCCACACAGTCGAATGCCTTTGCGTAGTCAATAAAACACGGGTAAACATTTTTCTGGTGTTCTCTGCTTTCAGTCAGGATCCATCTGACATCAACAGTGATATCCCTGGTTCCACATCCTCTTCTGAATCTGACATGAATTTCTGGAAGTTCCCTGTCGATGTACTGCTGCAGCCGCTTTTGAATGCTCTTCAGCAAAATTTTACTTGCATGTGATATTAATGATATTGTTCAATAATTTCTGCATTCGGTTGGATCACCTTTCTTTGGAATAGGCACAAATATGGATCTCTTCCAGTCGGTTGGCCAGGTAGCTGTCTGTGTATGCTAGAGAGAATAATATCGAAATTTGGAAATTAGTAGTACTATTTCATAGCCAATGCTTTGTTCATTATTTTCTAACTTATTATAGAAAGAAAATCTACTTTAAAAGTTTCAAGTTGTATGTTTTTACAGATTTGCATCAAACTAATGCTGTTTACTCTCTCACAAAGATGAGGGTAAGCTAAAGCTTGTATTTTCTTAATTACAATATCTTCTGCATAAGAATCTTTTATTGTATTTGAAACTCTTATGTCCAGAGAAAAAAACCAGGGGAATTCTACTATATTCATGTTAAAATAAATTTTATCTTATATACTACTGTATATATATTCTCAAAATACTACTTACTAGCTTCATGGAATAAAATAGCATTATTTATTGTATAGCTTATAGTTCCTGTCTAACATTTGATCTTCACAACTACCTAATGTTAGGGCTGACTTACTTTATGAAGATTTATTTCTAAAAAAGCAATTTTTTTATTCAATGTCTCACAAAGTTTCACTGTGGAAGAATCCAGTGGATCTTTGGATGCTCCTTATTCACTTATTTTTCATATCATCTGTATGTATGTCTCTGACAGATTTGGTAGACCTATCTATTTCTCTGTTAACAGTCAGTAAAATTGTTTAGCATTGTTAGCACCCTGAATACAGCAGTTCAATTACTTATGAATCACAGTAGTCACTATTTTCTTGTGTTTCTACATCTTGCTGTAAACCAGTGGCTCTCAATCAAGTGCAGTTTTGCCTCCCGGAGGACGTTTGGCAATATCTGGAGACATTTTTAGTTGTCACAACTGGGGTGAGTGTGCTGTGGTTAGAGGCCAGGGATGCTGCTCAACTTTTCCACAATGCATTGGAGAGCTCCTTTCAGCAAAGAATTATTTGGTCCAAAATGTCAGTAATGTGGAAGTTGAGAAACCCTGCCATAAGCCTATCAAAGAAGAATTTGGTAGATATTTTAAGATTTGCAGTATTCATCTCATCTACTGGTCTGGTAACTCAAATAGTAAATGAGGGCTTAGTCCAGCATCGTTTATTCTCTGTGAATTCCTGCCAGCTTCTGTTGAATACTGTATACTCATTTTGACCTGTTCATAATATTATTGTACATCATTGTCACTTAACTTTCCTTTTCTACAGTTCTATGGTTGGGGATCTGGCTTTCTCCTTTTGACAATCAGGACTAGATCTCCTTTTTAATCTTTAGGGACGTCTCCTATTTTCTGTGATGATTTTTAGGTCATTGATAGTGGTTTAGCAATTTTATCTAAAAATTCACGTTGACTAAAATGTCTTTATAAGAGTTAGATACTTTCGTTTTTTTATAATTTAGTTTACTTTTTATTGTTATTGAGAATATATACAGCAGAACATAAATCAATTCAACAATTTCTCCGTGGACAATTCAGTGACATTGATTACATTCTTCAAGTTGTGCAGTCATTCTAACCCTCCTTTTCCAAATTGTTCCTCACCAGTTAACATAAACTCACTGCCCTCTAAATTTCCTATCTAATCTTTCCAGTTGCTGCTGTCAGTTTGATCCCAGATAGTAAAAGAGCACAATGCCCAAGGCAGACATTCTTTACTACTTAAGCTAAACTACTGTTTGGTTTTAGGAAGACTTCAGAGGATATTTTTGGTTTAAGGTTTAAAGATTATCTCAGGGCAGTAGTTTCAGAGGTTCATCCATCCTCCATGGCTCTAGAAATTATGGATTCTGTGGAAAATTGAAATTCTGTTTTGTACTTAATCTCTTTTGATTAGGATTCTTCTGTAGAATCTTTGATCAAAAGCTTCGATAATAGTAGTCAGGCACCATCCAGTTCTTCGGGTCTGATGGCAAAGAAGGCAGTTTTTCATGGAGGCAATTAATCACACATTCTATTTCCTCCTCCTGTTCTTGGCTCTCCACACATTCTATTTCCTCCTCCTCTTCCTGGCTCTCCTTCCTCTTTTGATCCAGGTGAATAGAGACCAGTTGTACCTTGGATGGCTGCTTGCAAGCTTTTAATACTCCAGGCACTAGGCAACAAACTAGCAGGTAGAAAGGAAACACTAAACTCGTTATTAGGCCAGTTACTGGGATGTCCCATGAAATTATGACCCTAAACCTCCAAACTAAGAAACCAAAACCTATGAGGTGTTTTGTTGTACCTAAGCAGCCTCAGCAGCTGCTCTTTAGTTAGATACTTTCTTATAATCTTTTTTGTCCAGCTTGTTCCCTTTCATTGGTAGTTATTATGAGAACTGAAAAAAATGAAGTGATGTATGGAGAGAGAGGAGAGATGAAAAGGACACGGTGAATAATAAAAAACTAATGATTATTGAGGTTCTGTAGCATCTTTGATAATGGACCAGACTATTTGTTTTGGAGACATACTTTCCTGTGAGACATTTGTGGCCACATTTGAGAACTGTATGACAAGGAGAGACACAGGATTGTATTCCAGTATGTCAAGGAAGCAGGAGTATATTATGAAAATATCATTAAATACTAACAAAATAATATGCAGGTGATTTATAGATGGCTTCAATACAGAGGCCAGCATTGTTTTCTCAAGTGTGAGGAAGAGGAACATAAGTGGGGATAGGAAGTTGCATTGCAGAATCACTCTCTTAACTTTTGAAACTTGAAACCTGAACCATTCAGGCTTCCTTCTATTGCCTGTTTCATGTCTTAGAATTATAAGAGAGTCTGGGTGATGTACCTGTGGTCGATTGTCCAAGCCTTTTTTTTTTTCCCCTCTCGTATTCTTTTTCTGTGAGATCCAGTGGACAGGGAGGAGCGTGAGTAGTAAAATGTTTCACTCTCTCTTCCTGTATGTCTTCTGGCAGCTATGACTTCTGGCTCTGATGGGGACTTACCTCCCAGTGAGTATGAACTTGGCATCTATGGTGGATAACATCATATGAGAAGCCAGTACTTTTTTTTCGCCATTTATTATTATTACTTCATTACCAAACCAAACCCATTGCTGTTGAGTCAATTCTGAGTAGACCTTACAAATTAGAAAATAGATTTCTAAATTTAACTAACTCCATTTTGATTCTTTTTTTATTATTTTTTCCCATATAAAAGTTTATACATACATTGTTATGTGACCCTAATTGCTCACTCCATACTGAGACAGCACACTCCTCCTTTCCACCCCTGATTCCCCATGTCCATTCAGCCAGCTCCTAATCCTCTGTGCCTTCCCATCTCACCTCTGGACAGAAGCTGCCCATTTAGTGTCTTGTATCTACTTGAGCTAACAGGCATACTCCTCACGAGTATCACTTTGTGTCAGTCACACAGTCCAGTCCAATCCCTGTCTGAAGAGTTGGCCTCAGAAATTGTTTTAGTTCTGGGCTGATAGAGAATCCGGGGGCCGTGCTTTCTGGGGCTCTTCCGGTCTCAGTCAGACCACTGAGTCTGGTCTTCTTACTAGAATTTGAGTTCTGTACCCCACCTTTCTCCTGCTCCATCAGGGACTCTCTGTTGTGTTCCCTGTCAGGGCAGTCATTGATGGTAGCCAGGCACCATCTAGTTCTTCTGGTCTCAGGCTGATGAAGTCTCTGGTTTATGTGGCCCTTTCTGTCTCTTGGCCTACTACTTTCCTTTTGTCTTTGGTGTTCTTCATTCTCCATTACTCCAGGTGTTTGGCATCTTAGATGGCCGCTTGCAAGCTTTTAAGACCCCAGACGCCACTCACCAAAGTAAGATGCAGAACATTTTCTTCATAAGCTTTGTTATGCCAGTTGACCTAGATGTCCCCTGAAAGCATGGTCCCCAGACCCCTACTCCTGCTACTCTGTCCCTCAAAGTG